AGCATCACTGTTTACACACATATCAAAATAGATGCGAATACATCACCACCGTATATATTCTTAAATAGAGGGACCTCACACTATGATTAGCTAGACACTTTCAAGCAGGATGAGGAATGTACTTATATCTCCAGAGACGAATATGGTTTTGCATATGATAAAAGACACATGAGATTTGTTCTGTAGTATTTACCCGTCTTATAACATGTTTTAGAGACTTCAATCACCGTCAGCTAATCTCGTAAAAAATTCTCAGAAATGCATCACTATGTACAATGAAGCGTAACAATTTTTTGACAGAGTTGCGAAACTGCCTAGGTTTCAAGCGACCGTACGAAACCAACTCGAAAAAATGAAGTTGAAACCCGCGCCATGGACAGACCATGGCCATGACCATGGCCGCGCCATGGCCTGTGCCCCTCGTACGTCTTCCTAGTGTCAGTAAGAATTTGCGCTACGCTTCATCGAGCGTACGTAACCTGCCCACCCAGCTCGTATCGCGCATAGCGATTCACAACATGAACAGCGATCCTGGCGACGTCGTCGTCAACAGAGGAGCACGCACACGCGTGTCGACCGCGCTGTCTGTACACGCAGTGGCGACGGTTACCAACGCGCTAGTGATCACCAAACACGACGAATACGACGACGACGACAGCTCAGCGACGATCGCGCGCACCCCTCGCTCGCGACATCAAAACTTGCCAAACGACTTCGCGAACAGGACGCCCGCCGCCTTGTTTAGGTCGCCCGCCTGTCGGACGAGCTCCTCCCTTGCCTGTTCTCGCGTGAAGCCCATGCCCATCAGCGCCTGGATGCTCGTCTCTGCAATTGAGCCGCCGGCATCGGGGTCCGCTGCGCTCGGAGGCTGCGGGGAACCGGCCGAACCTGCGACAAGATCGAGATCAAGTTACGACGACGCAAAAAAAAAAACTACGCGCGATCGACGCGAGCCGTACGATTCGTACGAATTGGATTGACTTTTCCCAAACGCAAAATCCAATTACAAACGAAGCGAATGATGAAACTCGTAAAAAACACAGCACAGACACTCGCACTGCAATAACAACAATATACTGACAATAGCCCCGAGAGAGATGCAGTATTGTAATACAACACTGCTGCACATGGTTTCACTAGAACTTGATACATAACCTTCTACAATGAAGAAACTGCACCTAACACCACACAGAACCGCGTTGCCCCCCCGATAAAATGACTACGTAATGCTACAAGGAAGCTCGGTATCACTCCCCTCCCTCCACCTGATATTGCACCCCATCACTCACCCACAATAAAACGACCACACGCAACACAACATAAAAGAACAATACCGCCCCCTACTGGCAGCAGCGCCCCCACCCATGATAAAACGACCGAATGTAACACGACACGCATCACAGTAGCGCCCCCTACCTGCAGCAGTGTCGGCAGCGGCAGGTTGGGCGGGTGTGTGCGCGGCGTCAGACGACTCGGACAGAGCCTTGGCGAGTTGCTCGTCCTCCATCTCCTGATCGGCGGCGGCGTCGGCGGTGGCAGCACCGTCGCTGCGGTTTAGCCTCGCGCAGTCCGGCAGCTCCGACTCGACGAGGAACGATGTTTCTGTGCCCGTCGTGCCGATGACGAGCAGGTTGCGCTTCAGATCGATGATACACTGCGCACGAATCACGCGAGCAATCACTACTGAGGGGAATCACGCGATGCAAGAAGCGTGGCAAAGTCACGCGAGCAGTCGCTACTGAGGGGAATCACGCGAGGCAAGAAGCATGGAAGTCGTGCGTTATCGAATAGAATGTTGGAAATAGCAGCTTCCATCACATCAGTCATAATCATTCTTTGAACAGGACTGGTTAGCCTTTCATAGATTTTACTATAGATTATGGAATTAACTATAGGTAGTAGAAATCAACTGCCTGGATTTTCAGGCATATTTCCAAGACTGACGTGAGGCAAGTAATGTGAATAAGCAGAGGTTAGGGTTACTACGCCTATGAGAAAAAGTATCGGTAAATATAAGATGAGGCCTTGGAGACTCATGTTCAGGAGCCACAGTCTTGTTAATCTCCCAGTGTGATAAGGTGATAAAACACTTGGTGTACAAGCCCAATAATTATGTCATGTGTCAGATTTCAAGACAGAAAGATATGCAACCAAAATGTCATTTTGTTTTTTTAATCGCTTCATCAATTCAAGTGCATCGCGATCACAGCAATTAGTTGTTTTCTAATCACAGCGAATAGATTTTCAAAGATCGATCACTTGTCTTCATTATCGATTAAGTTATCAGTCGCTGCAAATGATCGATCCTTAAACATAATTAATTACCGGAACACCACTAGTAATCTCCTCGTTTACTCGAGAGATGGCAAAGATAAGTGCAGTACGCTGTCTTGCAGCTTATTCTCACGACCATAGCACGACAGGACGATGAACCAGACGTAACCATACTAGCGACGACAGGAAATTAGATTACGCCGAGCTAGGTAAGCTCGTTAGATTTCTTACTTCCGAGACACAGTTGGAGGATATGATTACCAGCACTCCCTGCACACAACCTGTGTCCTCACAGAAGGGTATCGATTATACGACTGTGCGAACAGTTTGACGTACCTGATGTCTCCGTAGCATGTCCAGGCCTAGAAGCATGTCCATTGGTTGGTCCTCGAGTATGGAAAACGACGACGTGAGGAAGTCCTTACCGATCTGTATCTGCCCTGTTGGCGAACGAAACGGAAAACGAAACGTATGCCCCCGCTGGCTTCGGTCCACGCTCGTGCAATCACAGAAAAACTACAGGAGGGATTGAAACCTGCAGGCACAACAAAAAGTGACTATTGCTTTGTTACTGCCACGACTATGCCTAGAGATGTAGACAGCTAAGTGCATGCAGATGTACAAGTATATGTAGATGCAGATGCACATGTAGAAATGTCAAATTAGAGCCCCAGGCAAACTCATACCTAGATGAACTCTTCCGATGATTTTTTGCGTGCCAACACCTTTCGCAACGCCCGCCCACCTCGTGTCAATCAGTCGTTTGATGTTGCAACGTTCTGCACATGCTTGACTCATTATCGTCGTCTGTGCTCCTACAAGAACAAGCAGATATGAAAGATACATAATACATAAAGCTGTAAGGGATTCACAAACTATGGCGGATGCCGCTTCACGTAGGCCTTATATTGTCTGGGGAAATATTACACACGTGAAGCCGACTTACAATATTAAACCACGCTACAGGGGTAGAAATTAACGTTTGAACAAGTGAGTCCAATGGAGTCCCTACCCTCAAAAAGATGGAGTCCGCAGCAAAATGAGGGAGTGCGCAGTCTGAAGTTCAAAACTAAAGATATTAACAAAAAGGATATTTGCGATGCACGTCTGCCAAATTTTCTTGGGACATTTGCTAAAAAAATACGGTAATTCCGTGAGGCTGTGGGTTCGAACGAACTAGTTAGTATAGCAGAATTTTCATGGAGTCACATGGACTCCTGCATATGTCAAATCAGGGCGTCTGACAGTAAATCAGGGTGTATTTGATTCCGGACTCGCGTTAATTTTGCACCCTGACGCTATACATAACATTCGAAAATGTGGACAAACTGAATAGTCACAGCACTAGTCATCTATTCTACACAAGTTTTGAGATATAAGTTTTTTCCTATTCTATGGGTTAGCCAATGATAAACTTTTATATCTCAGGTTTCTGCATTTTTTGCATGTCGGACTCTGGTGTACAATATATATATATATATATATATATATATATATATATATGTCGCCTGATTTTACATAATCATGTAAGATCCTTGGAAAGAAAATGGTTATGAATGCAAGCAACCCAACTTAAAATAGCTCGACTGAGCCACGCAACGTCAGTAGTTATACACTGACTGTCACTTTCTCTGGATGACAGACTCGATCTAAAATGCACACACGCTGAATAATAGCTAGAATGGCAGTCAAGCTAGCCTTTGTCATGCTGAATTTGCCTTGTATGTCCACATTAGTATTCAATATGCAGAGAAAAGGTTTACCTCAAAGGAAAGGTGTTTAGAAAAAGAGAAAACTGCTGGCTTGTGGAACTAGACACTGGCTGTGCTGCAGTCCACAGGAGAATCAATGAGACTACTGAATCAATCACAAAGGCCAATGACTTTGAATATCGATTTAAACCACAGCCCTTCTTATCAGTTTAAGCAGTTGTTGGAAAATATGCATTTAAATTAATATAAAGGGTCTTACATCTAGTAAGCAATCACTGCAAAGTGAAAACTAAGTAGTAACACTTAGCAGGGGTTATAACAACGGAGAGAAACGCCAGGCCAAATTATAAATGACACTGCATTTGCTGAAAAAATATATCCCTGCAAAACTTAAATATAAAGAGGAATCACAAGATTTCACAGTAATATAAAGTAGAGCACGTACATTGTAAAATTTACATGTTTTTAATTAAACTAGGAATGTTTTACTTGAGATCTTGATTTCAGGATATCGAGTTGCTGTGCCTCGTGCAAGCTTTTAATATAACTTTATATATAACTTATATATTAATATAATATAATGATACTTTTAATATAAGTGATTACGTCACCGTAAATACTAAAATAAAAATAAAATTTCCACTTTTTCACAAAATATAAATAATTGTGTTCACTTTTTATGGTTAAATTGCTGCATTATATTTCTTATTTTACTATATTGTTCGATGTGAACATACACTCGTGACTCATACATAGCTCATAGCAAGCAATTAATATCATGAACACAATATCAAATCGTCCAGGTTTTTTGGATTTTTAACTAGTTGAGAAACAATCTTATCAGGTAAGAATTTGACATTACATTTACTCCCGTTAGTTCTTACTTTTAATGTAAAAAAATGGCAACAATTTTTTTTACAAATGTTACCATAGAAAATTTGTGACGTAGTCAATTTTAAATGAAAGTTAGTAAGTTTGTGGAGAATTGAGCTCCGCAACCCTTTTTTACTAACAAATTGGACATAATGTACAACACAATGAACCACGACAAAAATTATAGGTCACATTATAAAGCAGCGAAAAAAATAGACAGGAGCGGTGAGCGATTTCGCTCCCGTCAGCTTTCAAAGCGCTCTGGTAACAATAATTACGAGAGCGAAAATTGTGGAAGATATGAGAAAAATCGCTCCCGTGCCGCCGGCAGCGTTCGAAATTAGTTCCGACCCGGAGGCCCGAGCCCACCAAGTTTTTGCTCGGGCCCAAAGGCGTCGGAAGCAATAAAATAGTGCCGCGGCTTTGGTGATAGGGCGAGCCCCGGGGAGGCGAAGCCACCCTAGGGGTGTCTGGGGGCATGCCCTCCCCCGTGAAAATTTTGAAATCTACAAGGTAAATGGTGGGCTCTGGTGCATTCTGAGCATTGTGATTTAGCACAAAAAAGTGTGTTTCACTGTAATTTTAGAAAAATACATGATGATTTGAAAGATTTGTTGCTTAACATAGAATTAAAATATTCAATAATGACCAAAAACTCCAAATTTATTTTTCTCACTTTAACAGTGGAATAATATTTGGTAAAACTTCCTGAAATACATTCCGAGTAGACGGGGAGCAGAGGAATGTGTGCCAGAGTTCTGGATCATAAAATTTTATAGCCACAGGTGACCTGCAGGGGCGTGTACAGGATTTGGACCAGGGGGGGGGGTCTAACCGTAATACATACTTGCGAGCACGCGAAGGAGGGGTCTGGGGGGCCCTCCCCTAGAATTTTTTTGAAATTAGACCCCCTCAGATGCGTTTTCTGCGCGAGCAGGGGGGGGGATCCGGACCCCCTGGACCTCCCCCCTGTACACGCCCTTGACCTGACCTCATCTGACCCTGGTCTCCGCTTATAGGGGCCTAGATTACACGTATATACATGATATATGTACCGGCCAAAAGACGGTATAAATTATTGAAAGATTTTGGTTACGGAAAATTTATGGCCTGAAAAAGGTGCCGCGGCGGTCGCCGCGGCTGCCGCGGCAGTTCCGACGCCCTTGCTCGGGCCACCATCTCTACGAAACTCCCGGTCCTCCTGACCGGCACTTTTTCCCCTCATAATACGCTGAAATACTACGGTTAGCCCAACGGCAGTTTAGACAGACTTGTAAACGGGAGCGCATAATACGACCCGTTCCTCAATGTAGACGGGGTATCCAAAACATCTAGAGCCGAGGGCATAAACTCCCTCAACGCATGATTCGCCACACGAACAAAAACTCGCGAGTCTAAGAAATCGATTGCAGCATCGCCCATTGCAGCATCTCGTGCAGCCCAGCGTTTTTATGACCGCATAACAATAAGTTTTTATATCGCAGGGGTTATCGTGGGGAGTGAGTGCACGACCAGTGATACCTGACACGCACGTAATCAAAGCTGTTAACTGAATTCGTCACTTTTCTTAACGTAGAAAGTGGACTATTTTTATTCAGTTAGATATCTAGAAGCAATGTAAACTGTATATACTTAAAGATTCTAGGCACTTGTTACTTTGTGGATGTGCGGCAGCATTGATCTATGCATGGGGGTACCGTGGACTGGGGAGGAGAAAAACGAAAGTAAAACCTTGCCCAGAAGCTCCCGGCATTCCTAGAGATTCCAGTACAAGTTTTTTTTAACATACTCAAAGTAACTAAAAACTCTCTCTGAAGTTCTGAACTTGCTCAGTCGATGTAAAAAGAAAGTTGAAAGATGAAAACAAATAAAGTAAAAAAAAGAAACTTGAAAATAACCATACCATCATTACCATGATTATAATTCTTGATTTCCTGTCTTTGTCATGTTACCTGACTATGTGTACTGTGTAGTGCATGTCTGTCTGTGTGAATGAAATTGAATAAGAATGTGATTGGTTTCTTAGTCTAGTGAAATGAGATAAAAAAATGTGATCGAATGTAATTTGTTGACGATTTCTTAACACTGATAGTCTGATACTGGTGCTGAGTGCTGAATGCTAATGAATAATATTAGAGTCATTGCATCAAAATTATATAAATTTTAACAAAATCATGCTATGAAAAAGTAGCTCTGGCCTAAAATAGCTCCCGTAAAAAAAGTACGAGAGCTCTTTTTTTCATACAAAATCAAAAAACAGCTCTCGTAAACAAAAAAGTAATTTTTAGGCTGTTACAAAGGCTTTCACATCAATAAAGATATTAATAACAAGTACTCTTGAATAAGTATGATTCTAAACCGGCATGTTTTTTTTAAAGAAATACAAAGTGGAATTATTTATTCTCTGGATGCAAGTACCTGAATCTACAAAAGCTTTCACTTGATGTCCATTAACTCTGCAGTCAATGTAAAGCATAATAACCTGGCCAAAACTCTCTGGTGCATGTTCAATGGCTTGCTCCATGTTTGATTCCACGTTTTTCAACCTTCAAGTAAATGGTTAGCACACTGATCAATATAAGCAAACATAATCGGTACAGAAAAAATATTAAATATCTTTCATGTGCTAATAGAATAATATACAACTCCACGTCTAACAAGTATCACATCCACCGAAAGAAATTAAACCAATGGAGCTCATACGTATTTCAATTATTGGAAACATTGATGACTAATTACCGGATTTCTTCAGCAATTAATTTTTGTGCTTCCATATCGAATGGATCAGCATTCATCATGCGAATGCGCAAGAGGTCTCTCTCCCTCTTTATCTTCTGCTGTTCTTCCAAAACCATTTTGAACCGGTCTGGAAAATTAGGAGTAGAGCCAGTCTAACAGCAGCATCAAGTGAAAGACCATTTAGAAATATTAGGGTTCTCTCAGGAATTTTCAGAAGGTATATTGTTTATGGATAGGTAGGAGGACGCGGGAAGGGGTGGAACTAATTGGAGTCAATCACGCACATGATAAGAAATACTAATAGCCAGGCAAACTCAATTATTTTAGAGACATATATATACCAAGCTGTGAGAACACAGCATGAATATGTGGGGATTGTCAAAAGTAAATACAGCTGGAAATTAAGACATGACCATTAGGCAATTAAGATATGTCAAAGGATTAATAAGATGTCACAAATTGACTTCAGCTTTGAAGGCATTTGTGCCTGACATGCATTAAGGGTCTCAGGAGACCCCTCATGTACATATCTCACTATCTGTAACTATATTATACTTGAAACTTGTACTCACTGGCCACCGTTAATTTGCCAATTAATGCGTATCTTCGATAGAGAGCACAAAAAAACCAGTACTTTGAATACGAAATATTCCAATAGGCTGAATAAAAGCGTAGCAACTATGGAAAATAGAGAGTAAATTTGAAACCTAGGTCTCCACTGAGCAGAGCTTCAGCAAGCCTAGGATTGTTCTCCTTCAGTAAGGCGAGGTCATGTGGACTGGCCAGTAGCATCTGCCTCAGTTGTTCAGGAGAAGGCTCCTCTTGCCTACTCGAACCAGATGCTGCAGGTGCCTGTTGCTGGGCCCCATGGTCTGTGGGAACAGGGATGCTACTGAAGTCAAAGTTGAATGGGAATCCTGGTGCTGTAACAAACAAACAACCACACGCAGTTTAAATTCTTCAGATTTCATTCACCATGCACTAATTTGATAGGATGATGCTCTTCAGGAACCCTTCACTAATCGCAATTTTGTTTTATAGATATACCACGAACATATTTATATATATCTTCTTGGACAAGAGTATAAATGTGTTCATAGTTACAGGGTTCTGCCCAGGATTTTTTAGTGCCGGGCGAATCCAGTTGATGCAAGCGCCGTAGGCGCGAAGCCAATCTAGGGGGGTCCGGGGGCATGCCCCACCCTGGAAATTTTTTGATTTTGGATAGTCTGAAACTAAATTTCCTGCATTCTGAGCAATAAAAAACCCATATATCAGACTGACAAATTTGTTGTTTTTTAGGTCAAAAAAAGGAAAAACAGGGGTTTTAGAGGACAAAGTGCAATATCTGAGATTATCATTTATCAACAGCTTGAATATACATAGAAAAGAGAAAACAGTACAATTTGTGTAGACAAATATTTGCTACTATTAAACATGATAGCCAGACTACTGCCAGTCACAGTTGCTGGCAGACTGCTTCAGTTCCAAACAAATGGACACAAACTACAGTGTATTTAGTCTACGATTCTTTGTCTTTTTTAAATATATTTTTTTTAATTAGTGCTGGGCGGAGATAACCGACTCGTTTATAGTGCCGGGCGGCAACCGCGAGTGCCGGGCACACCCGCCCACCGCCGCCCACCGTGGGCAGAACCCTGGGTTATAGTTATAAGGTGAATAGAATTATAGCTAAAGATTAGTTAGTTCCCAATCCTGAATTGCAACATCTATAAGCTGCTAAACAATACTTGGGTAAAAAGCAGACCTTAATAGCACTGCATCGGTGGCTGTTAAAACAGAGCATATATATATATGCAAACAGAAAAATAATACAGTGACGAGGAATATTCCTCATCAGTGGTGCATAGTGTTGTCAATCGGTTGTAATTTCGTAATCGATCATCGGTTGGACCCAAGTAACCGATGATCGGTTACAATCGGTTACTCGGGGTGTTGAATGCCTGCGTGTGCGTAACATCGTGTGCACATGTATGTGCTTGTTTAGCCCTGTTTACTGTTTGTTTTGCACTGTTTACTACTGTGTGTATAATACATGTATGTTAATAAAGGATAACTTGTATAGTAGCGATGATATCTCTGATTCTCATCTTTTTTTTTGGATTAAATTGATTATGGATTTTGATAACCAAGCGCTTGGTTCGAGCCACTGTTCAACCGATGATCAAGTATAATCGATGATCGTGACATCACTAGTGGTGCTAGTGCTTAGAAGTATCACACGACATCCAAATTTACCATGGGAAATTTTTAAAAGCACCATCAAAGTAAAAGTAAATTTGGTTTATTGCATGCAGAAAATGTTGAGAAGACTAAAGACGTGTTCTAGATTTTAAGGTGTTTTACGTAGTCTAGTTGTTGAGCTCCAAGTTTAAAATAATTATTTAAACCTAGATGCAACTAAAAAACCTTATTTTTTTGGTAATGAATCACTAGACGTTGCCCCCTTGTGGATTTACACAAATTATTAAACTAGAATCATGTCGAACAATCAGGCATGTCATACCCGATTGCTAATAGAAGTCGATTACGCATTTCGAAAGCAGCCCCAATCTACAGGTAAAATCAATCAGTTCGCAGATGTATGCATCAAGCTGTGGAAACAGCATAACTGTGTTGGGATTAAATTAAGGCATATAGATTGGGTAATTATGATATGTCAAAGGATTCATGGAATGTTGCAAATTATATAGCTTAAACTTTGAATGTATGTCAGACACAACATATATATTAAATGCCTTGGAAGAATACTTCTCTAGTTAATTACCAAACATTCAAGTTACAATCGTTTAATTGATTCAGCCATTGGTTTTTAACCGTTATCCAACATGACCAAGTAAGTATCTTCAGTCAATTTGGTACGAGCAAAAGTGGATAAGTTTCTGAAGGGCCTTGGCCAACCACTGTTTGGGGGTGGCAACGTAGGGTTCAAGAATGAATAGATCGATGAGTTAGCCTCAGTTTAAATTTTCCAGCACTTTCGTCCAACACAACTAGAACTAGGCTAGCATCTAACGCTCCACATACATGCGTCTAAACAGAGGAATTGCTCCGACCTGTGATTGGAGGATGAAAATAAACCCCGCCCACTCCCGCCGCATACGCTATTATGCTATGACCGGTAGGAACGTGTACTAACTATCATATGGAGCGAACGATTTAAGTTACATTTCTATAAATTCTAGCTATTATAGACACATGTCTTAGCCTTAATCTCTGTGAATTTTGAGTTTATTGAAGCGCGATTAGTCTAATTAATTAGCAAATGTGTACGCACGGCTATGACCGGTGAAACGAAACATCATAAATTCTATTTTTATCCTCCAATCACAGGTCAGAGCAATTCCTCTGTTTAGATGCATGTCTCCACATTATGAGGAACCAGCACAGGCTAGTACTGCTGATAGGGTCTATCATCTATGTCTCCCTGGGTACTGCCGGAACGTACCCTGGGTACGGTCCGGTATACCGGAAAGTACCCTGGTAACTATCTGATATGGTTAGGGTTAGGGAGTAGGCATAGGCGACTCCCTAGACTCGTTAGTGGAGTAGGCGAGGTATGGTTCGGCATATTAGATAGTTACCAGGGTACTTTCCGGTATTACCCAGAATATAGGCAACCCTAACCCTAACCCTATCAGCGCTAGTACTACTACTACTACTAGTAGCTACGCTGAGAAGATCTATGTCCCCCGGGGTACTGCCGGAACGTACCCTGGGTACGGTCCGGTATACCGGAACGTACCCTGGTACTATCTAATATGCCGAACCGTACCTCGCCTACTCCATTAACGAATCTAGGGAGTCGCCTACGCCTACTCCCTGAGCCGAACCCGAACCCTAATCCTAACCCTATTACCATATCAAATAGTGACCAGGGTACGTTCCGGTATACCGGACCGTACACAGGGTACGTTCCGGCAGTAACCTGGGGGACATAGACCCTATGAGTATGAGCAGTAGTACCGGCAATCGATTCTTTGTCATTCAATAAACTGACACTGTTCTAAATGGTGTGTATTGTAATTTAAACACATTGGGGAATCTCACCATTACTCGCATTGCCTGCACCAGCCTGCTGGCGCTTTACTAACACCACGTCGGTATCTTTTAAGCCGTATGCTGCGAGCGGTTTCTGGTTATCATCCAGCACGTGTCCCTCGAAAACAATTGTCATTTCTGATGCCGGAATATTGCATTCCAATTCGCACAATGCTTTGAAATTTTCCACCTCCAAGTCGGCGCTAACGTCAACTGTGTAGAATTCATCTGACTCGGTAGTGATTGATATCTTCATTTCTGGTCGTTAAATAACAATACATCAAGGTAGCAACACAGAATTCATATGTTACGCTGACGTTTTCATTCAATCGCAATTGCAACAAATCGCCATTTGATGACTATGCTGACATCTATCGGACACGACCAGAGTTACGGATATTGTCTAGAAATGTTTATTTATGAAATGAAAAAGGGGTTACACAGGCTTTTGCAAAAGAAAAGTTGACATACACATTTAAAGTATGGAACACTATATTCAATATAAAGGGACTCTAGTATAATGTTAATCAGTACGCCATCTATTGATGAATAGAATTTTTATAATTTTTTTAACTTTTTAACTTTTTGAAAATTTTGTTTCAGCCAGAACCACCTCCCAGACGTGCTGATTCTGAAAACATATTTAGTTTTCCTCTAGGCTGCGGAGTTCTTTAGTTATGCGCAAACACACAAATTCAACTGAACAACTTTATATATATAGATAAAAGACCCTACGAAGCGATATAATTAACGAAGCGATATAATTCTCGAAAGCTCGCGTATTAAAATTAACACCAATTTTTTACATGTATTTTCTTATATATAATATTATATATATAT